CTCACGCCGAGATTCACGGATCTGCCGTTAGTTCTCTCCTAAGCGCAGCGCTGAGAACGGTCACTCTCCACTTTGTCGTCTCAGTCTTCACCAGGTTTGTAGCTAATCCGCACTGGAGGATATTTCTAACCCAACTAACCCGCCAGCTACCCGATGATCTCCAGGATGGCACTGCCAACGTAAAACAGAAATCCCACTGCGTGACTTCCAAAACCTCACCCACAGGTGCCAGTAAGAGCACCCTGCGTGTCGGTGTGAGCACTGACTCCCGAGCAGCACAACAGGCTGTCACCGAAAGGCAAGGCCAGCAAGAACATCTCCCTGACAGCACTTACTGTGGATTCTGAGCAACTGCCTGCGAAAGGCTGTAACACTAGATTCTGTGCAATATTTTCACTCAGGGAACCTCCAACGATCTCAGGTTTAGAAATGTTAAAACTGAAATTAAATAATCCGTGAGTCATTATTCAAGAAGCAGCACAGTGCTTACTGGATTAATGAACCGTATCAGTTCCGCTCTTGTATCTGAAATACGCTTAAAAGCAACTGAAAACTGCATTAGGGTGCATTTAAAGGAAAAGATGAAATTTTATCACCTGAGGCCTCCCTGCTTTTCTGGAAAGCCAGAGAGTAAATTAACAATTTCAAGGCAGAGCTTTCATCGTAGGCAGTTATTAAACATCTCATTATGTCAACCTATTAAAAAATACGCTACATATTGGTTATTACTGTACAAACAAATATTAACCCAGTAGGTACAGCTTCTGTTACGTGATTTTCAGGATTCCCCATCTCAATCTGTGAACAGTTCACAGGCTTTCTGGTGAAACCAAACCATTTCTCACAGCAGACAGCACCAGCGTATGCAGCACGTTGCTGAAATTTAAGATCATCTCTTAGTTGCACCTTCTAGCCTTACCTGGCCATTCCCAAGGATGCCTGTGGATCCTAAACTGCATTCCTCCATCTGAGCTCGATGAACAAAGAATTTTTAAAAAAATATATAAAAAATGAATGCTTTACAGGACGGATGTTGAAAATATCACCCCTGTTCCAAATCACAACCGGTATTTTCTACAAAAGCTGCCTTCAGGACACAGCCTGCACAGTTCAAGTTTGGAGGCTTCAGATCTGCGTTCGCAGCGTTGTATAACCTCAGCTCCACGAGGCGCGTCCGTCCTCTCCCTTCCTCTTGTCATTTGAAGGCAAGGGGTTTGGAAGGATGTTCTCAAACTCGCCAGTCGTTTCTAGCAGTTACACACAATCATCTGCCCCTTCTCCTTTAATCAAGGGTTTATCTCGGTTGCAAGAGCCCGCGTTAAAACACATCAAGGATTACGTCCTTCAAGCCGGGCTATTTGCGGCCACTCCCCTCTGAAGAGTACAGGATGCCCAAGCCCCATCCTCCCTC